ATGTGTATCTCTTCATCAACGTCCACGGTACGCGTTCGCAATGCACGCTGACGCGGACGGACGTACAAGGTGTTCCACGAGGGAACAAGGATGGGTACAACTCGGTATTCTTGGCGCAGAACCAACAGCCCGCCAAGGCCAGCTCGGTGTACGTGACGTCACGAGATGTCACCTGCATTCGATATTGTTAAAGAATCTGGTCGGTTCAGGTGACCCCTGTGACAGCCACCCGAACACGAGGACCTGTTGTCCTATTTGGATGACTCGTCACCCTGTTCCTACGACCCGTATGACTTGTCGCTATATGCTAGACCTTCCCTGTCCCACTCGATAGCTGGTAGATAGGTATATCGAGATCCAAAAATCTAACTTCCAACACGATGTTGTTCTCTTAATACGAGCTCCTAGCGAGGAGATCGTCAAGGGTCGCGTTCAACGGTGTAATAAAGAATTCACGACTTTCACGCAAAGTTCCCGACGTTGCGTCATTATTCCACGTGCGGCGGGTTTTGATTAAGGTGTCGGAGGGTGACGAATTGTGTAATGAGGATTTGATGCCCTCGCGCGGTAAGCAATTAGTCCGCGGGGATTATTAATGTCTTGAACTAACAATTTCATCAGGGACCTTATTCAGCTCCATCACGGTTCCATCTTTCCTCTTCATCTGTTTGCGGCAAACTTATGAAGAATTAGTATGAAGATTAGTGCACCGCTCTACGGTGATACGCGACGAGGAAGATCTACTGGTCGCGTTAGTACACATTTTGCCATGGTAATCAAACATGCCACGTGCAAATAATGGATGTCCCTTAGTGGAGGTTAGGCTGTACCTCTGTAGGTTTTATAATGAGGTCTACCAGTGGAATAGGCTGTTGGAACTTATGCATGAATTTAAAACACCTATCCAACCTAACCTCGATCGCATCCTGGATTCAAACCTCCTACAAAATGGCTTACACAAATGCTAGAGAATAAAACTTACAAGACCCTTTATTTATATGAGCATGAATTCGTTTATTCGCATCGAGAGTCAGTACCTGAAACCCTTAAACCCTTTTTCGATTCAATTTTTTCCATAGAATCACCCCTTACTCGCTTGCACCACCAGTTACTGGACACCCTGTATATAAGCAGTGAGGATAACATCGATGAAAATTGATCGAATGAAATTCTACGATGAAGATTGGACCGTCGAAGAGTGTCCCCGGTGGAAAAAGCGCTGGAACACGAGGTTGCCAGCAATAAGATCGACGCAGAGAAGGTTAATTACCGAGATCCGTCGCATTGGACCTTTTCTGGGGCCTACGGGGAACGGCAAAGCGCGAGAGAAGGAACGGTAAGCGTCAATAAAAAAGCGAAAGAGGCGCAACCCCCATGATCCGCTATCTGGATCTCCTGCAACGTTCGCCACCTTTCTTCCCCTCCCCACGCCTGTTTCCTCCTTCTCCATTCTTCGTCTTTCTGTCGGGTAACCGGAGGCGAGGACGCACCACGTGCCTGCTTGAAAAATCAGCGCGTTTACCGAGAGGCTAATTAATTTACATAGCGGAGCAACGCGGCCCTCGTTTCTTTTCTTTTGCCAGCCGGAGTCGAAGGCGCCCTGCTGGGAAATAGACGATAGTGCTGAGTCCCTGGAGAATTTTAATCAACGTCCAACGTCGAGTGTTTCGCGAGCTGTAACGAGTGTTGCCACCGGTGTACGACGAGAGGACCGTGTACAATAGCATGCACGATGAAAATTTATAATAATTATCGAGATATCTGCCGGTGGCTCTCAAAAGACCGGTATTTTTGTCCTCTTTGTGCAGGTTTTGGACGAACGCGAGAACCAGTTGCTCCACATTGTCGAAAGTAACGGATCTACTTTCTGGAATGTTGCTCCTTCCCGTATTTCGCGTTAGTCTTCATAAAAACGCTACTTTGCACGGGCGGGATTCGAGAAAGATTCCTTATTCCAGCTACATTCGTGTCTCGACACCTTCTCGGATCTCGGCAATTCGATGCCAACACGTTAAGCGGCATGTCTGACTATGAAGCGAATCTATCCACTACTAACGTTGCGTGCGCGATGTCCTCAGGTTATTCCTTAGACCCAACGCGAAGCTACGCATCACGATGAATATCCAAAAGCAATGCTAGCTGTCACCAAGAGGGCACGATTTCCACCACCAGCTGGTTGGATGTTTCCAGAAACGGAGGACTCCCATCGCATCGACGTAACTCCAGTTCCCATTTAAAGTCCTGAACCCTCTGCCGTGGTAGATCGAATCCCGCTCCCATGCGAGCACCGGGGTCCCAAACGGCCGATGAACGACGAGCGGGTCGCGGCGTATGCAAGGTAATGGACACGAATCCGGATCGTAGTCTTGGGTGCGAACGGGAATGCGAATGCGAACAGGAACAGGAATGCGAACGCGAGAGACAGCGGAGGAGCACGGAGAGCGTTGTCCAGTTCTGGGGCCTGCGAGCCACGTCCCGATATCGCGGATCTCGCAGTATATCACCTGCGGGGCACAAGAGGTTGCCCTGGCCTCTACTTAGCGCTCTTGTTGCTACCGGCGCGATCCTGAGAGCGGACCACGGGCCAGCCTCGGGCATTGTTCACACCGTTTTAATAGGTATTCATTGTCGGACCTCAGATCTTTTCCGAAGACTCCCGGGAGAGTGTCGCCCGATGCCCCGATACCTGGGAGTTCTTGTGCATTACCAGCTCTCGCCTGTCGTCTCCGCCTCCCCTACTGCTCTCTCGCTCCCTCCGCCAGGGCACGTTTAATCCTGCCTGCTGCTAGTTCAGGCTCGCTAATTGCTAAAAACGCCGCGTGCCTCTCCGGATGGAAACGGAGGAGCTGCAGGGAAGGAAAGTTTGAAGGGAGAGTGATCGATACTCTTTAGCGCCATCTAGGTCTCTGAGAAAGAGATTGTTTGTCGAGTTCTAGGTTTTGTTAGACCATAGATACCCCATCGAAATAGGGAGAGTAGGAAGACACCAATTGTGAGCGGAAAAGATTAACAAAGCTGTTGAGACCTAGGTTTCCTAGCTAGAGTAGGTAGCCCTTATAGGCACTGAGACTTCTAGGGCACTCTAAGTGTATAATAGTCATTATAGGTCTCCAAATTAGGAAGGGACAAGTGTCCCCAGAGAGAGATAGCCAATTCTCCATGTCAAGGTGAACAAAGAAACCCTTCTCTATGGTGAGTCTACTCTCCCTAGTCCATTGCACCCTACCTCTGGACACCATCGAACTACCATCTACTCTCAAGCTAGCTGGATCACCCTATCCAGAGATGGTCAACGAAGAGAAGCATTCAGGACAGGGATATTATCAGAGTTTCCCCAGGTGTAAAGGGGGGAGGCGATCGTTCGTGGCCAGGTTCGCAGTACTTAGCGGCGTTAAATCGATAAAAGTGTAGAAGCCGCATTACGAGGGTTTCGTGTGGGCACACTTAGAGGCCGCGCACGTTCGTCGTGAGATTCGAGTTGCCTTCTGCAACTCCAGACCCGGGGAGGAAGATAATGGACGAGAGAAAGAAGAACGTCTGGCCATTATTCCGCGGCGATTCTTCGATTGGCCCCACCTGATTGCGATTGCGGATGAGATTGCACACCCGCGGCGCAGGAAGCCGCGCTGCTGGCGCGGTTGCATAATTCCCGGCCTGGTCTCTTTTCCTTGTCCCCCTTCGATCGGAATTTTCTATTTGATCGGGAACCTCGGCTCGCCCATTATCGATAGTCATGGCTCTAGGAAGCAAACTATGTCTGATTACAACTTTTATCCTCGATCTAGTTACTGAATTGCGAACACCGTGTTAACTCCGATTAAAACCCTGGATTTTGTATGAGACAGGGTACAACTTGTATTATAATCATTATAGAATGATTCTATGGGGTGGTGAGTATATTTGATTATAATTAATATTCCCAATTCAAGTGTTATCAACACAAAACTTGTTTTGATGCGACAGGGTGCATCCTCTCTCGTGCGAATCATTTTAATCCTTGAGACTACCATCTTTTTAGTAGAATTCTTGGAAGCCTCGAATCTTTAACAAAAATATAAAAATAAAGAATCAACGAAATAATCTGAAATTATGATTATATATCTAAAAGGCGTTGTACGACGTCAAGCAGTTGATATCAGAGGTGACCTAAAATATAAAAATGTCATAGCCGCGCGGATATCTTGACTAATTATGAATAAGCAATGCAAATGGGTTAAAGCAGTGTTACGATTTCGCGTCACGAAGGGATTATAAACTCTTCTTTCGACTGAAATTGCAACCTTCCAGCAAATGTGTGCCCCAGAACCTCGTAATAGGCCCCTGAATTGCTGCATTTTAGTTCCCTTCATTTAATGCTACATGAATTTATTTAAAAAATAAAATAAGAAACGCGGCTAAAAACTACGTAAACAAAGACAAAAACTGTATAAATCTCGACTTAAAGGTGTCCTCCAGGAATAAATACTCCTCTAAGAATCTGATAAAAATACCTAAATTTCCTGAAATACTCCTACACGTTTTCAAGCACCATTTCTGTAACATCGTACTTTAACAATAGCAAACAATAGTCAAGATTACAATAGTAACCAAGGGGCCCTGAAGTTCGATGGCTGGCCATTGTTTTTGAATAGTATTGTTTCGTAGGATAGAGAAAGAGGGCGAGAGTAACGACAGCTTCGCGTGTCCAGGAAGATGTTGCGAATGCTAATGCTTCTGGATGTGCAATGGGGTTTCGATACAAAGACGTAACGCAAGAAATATGTGAATCTTCGCGGCAGCGTTGATGATGGACGCTCTCCCTCGCGATTGATAACAAAACGAATGGCTCTCAACGATGTGCGGCTTGTGTAACGAAAAAATAATCCTGAGGTCGTTGAAACTGATCCTATTCAGACAACTTTAACAAAAACATTTCGTAGTAATTATTGTGGTAGTATAAACAAAATATTTTTCATTAGGAAATGAATTAAATGATTCTTCGATACAGTGAATTTGCTTACCTTGAAAGTAGCTTTTCGTTCGGAGGTAGCTCACGCTGAGTCTGAGGATGCTGAGCCGATCCAGCTTGCTCAGGATGTTCTGCTCGAACGGTAACAGCGATGCCAGCGTGTCCAGTTCGGCGTTCAATCGTTCCCGATGTCGCTTGCTGGGGTTCGACTTCGTTACGCCATCCTTTTGGGGTGGTTTCAGGCTGCAACAGAAAAAAGAATCGTTAGACTGACAAGAGAAGAATGATCTACCATTCGACAATCACAAATTTCTATATTTATTCTCATGAAAGTACTCTCAATTGATTGGCGAGACTCCACCGATGAAAATGAGTACAAATACGACCATATTCGGAGTATCTAAAATTGCGTGTTAATCAAATTTTGTCTAATTTTGAGTAAATAAAAGTAGTCCGAATGGGGTCGTGTTTGTACTCATTTCCATTGGCAAGGCCCCACGAATTCATTGGTAACATGTTCATTAAGATATTTAATTACTATACAATGTGAACCTTGTAAACTATATTAAATTTTCTAAAGACCACTGTTGATTATTCAGATTAACACTGCGGGGTACAAGGTGACCCTGTTGAATCCACCACTAGGGTTGACTATACTTTGCACTTTTGGAGATAAGAGTACAACGCGAAGCAACAATGCGTGCCACTCAGGCTTAATTAGCCGAAACAAGGTAATCGTTTCAGCCCTGCGGTGTTCGCGTTCGACTGGTTTCAGGAATTCCTCGGCGAAGGCATCGTCGGCCACATTCGAGGCTCGAACAACAGGCGGCCTGCGATCGAACGATCTCGATAATTAAAGGCGACCAGTGTCGGAGAGTTGATTGACACGCAGGGAAACCTTGCGGACCGATATGCCCACTCAACAGCCGGGATTCCTCGACATAAGTATAGTTATTACAACGTATTTCTCCCCCTCCATGTTCTCGTAACCCTACTTTCCTTATTTCTCCTTAGTTTCCTCTGTAAACTCGTCCTTTTGTTCATTCTCACTTTATCGTTCCTCGCTTTTTATCGACGGAGCATAAAACCCAGGAATTGTTTGATAATTATGACAAGCGAAAACTAACGACTACGAGTGCGCGGTGACCCTATGCGTCGCCATTGGCGTAACCCTCCGAAAATTCGACCCATCAGAGATCTTGAAAACATTTTCGATACTTCAAAACTTTGAATGCCTTCGTTTTAGAATTTCTTAACTTGGAAATAGAAAATATTTTAGAATGGTATGTTTCTAAAAAAAAATGACGACCATTGGCGTTGACGCACCTTTTCATGAAAGTAATCTACTTAACTAACCAACCTCGATAACTTGAAAATTTGAACGTTACGTAGGCGTAACAAATTTTTTCCAATATAATTGATACCGATGTTGAAGAGGTTTGCGACGCCACTGGCTGGCGAAATAAATATGCAAAATCAAACGTTACGAATCGGCCTCGGACTGTTTGTTTAATTGAAGCGCTCGCCGTGGGAATGGGACCCCATATGGGACCGGTGCGGAACTCCCCGTCAAAGACACCGCGCCGCGGCCACTCGCAGCCCTATACTTAGCAATAATTATTATTCTTACGCGTATAAATACATATATATTTAACAACCGTGGCCAGCTACCCTGGCAATCTCGCACAACGAGATGAACGCGTTGGGACCGTGCAGGACCAGTTCTTATCTCTGCTCTGGGAACAGTGTTGTTCGACTAACTGAATGAAACTAAACGTTTGTCACTGATGATTCTGAAAAAAAATAGAAGTTAGACCATTCGATAATCGAAGGGAAATGGGACTTCGATATATATAGTAAATCCTGTTTAAGAGATGTGAAACCCTATCTAATGGTAGATGGATTTGCTTTATAGTTACAGGTGTCGGCAGTTCATCCTCTTAACAGCCTAGGCGTGTAAAGCAATTCTTCAAATGTCTAATAGATGTTATTAAGCCTCACCTATTGAGATGTTAATGAGTCGAGTCTCGTTAAATCGGGCGAAAATCTAGATTAGATTGATCACACATCTGAAAATCAGTATCATGGCTCGATTAAATCGGCTAACGAATTCAACCGGGAAGCAATTCGCGTCTAACAGTCAATTTTTAACGTCCAAAGCGCGGAATTCCAAACAAAACGCGTTGGAAAGGCCTGGAAAAAAGGGACACGCATGGAAAAAAGACGGAAAGAGAGAAAAACAACGTCTGGCCTTAATTAAAATGCTTAGGGGTTAGAAAGCGTGATGAATGAGATTGCTGCCCGTGCACGTCCCGCCACGACTGCGCGGCAGCACCGAGAAGAACTCTATTAATTATTGGATGACACCGAATCCATTATCCGGGGACGAGGAACGACGGACGTCCTCGAGGAATAGTCTCATTCAGATACCATTAGGACCTCGGCCCGACCTTTTGTTCTTCCTCCTCGTCGCGCGTTCCTCGTGTGGCAGCGTGCAAAACACAGTTAATTATTGGGACGAGGACGAGAGAAAGGAGTGCCACGTGGGCCGTGCCAGGCCGCTGTTATGGTTCTAGTTTTTAAATTCGCCGACCGTCAGGTTTCAGCCAGGGCACGTCAACTTCTACTTCAACCTCCTCAGGATCTTATTCCTTTTTTCCAATCGTTTTCAGTTGTATCAGGCAAGCTCGGCGCGCGACGCGCGTGAGAACCAATGGCGCCACTGACAAACGTCACGTGTTTTTGGAAGACAGTGTGATCAAAGATACGGAATTTTTTTCAATTTAATGCAAAAGACATTGAGATCTCCCTTTTATTAGAAGATGGAATTCTTCCTTCTTCGTATAAGAATGTTTAGTTTGATATCTATCGTTAAAATTAAAAGAGGCAATTAGGTGTTCCGTTTCTGACTCGAGGATCAACGAATTATCGGATGACTGTGTCGCGATGACTGTACCACGATGACGGACAGATAGCAAAATTATAGATTTCGCGGAACAATGTACCAGAGAACCAATGAATGGGACATGCGTTTACGTAACTGACTTTTGTTCTCTCCCATCGTGGGAAGAAAGCAACGCGCACCGTGCACTTTACGCGGCAGAGGACTGCATTTCAATGCACTCTGAAACTGCAAGTTCGCCGGGAATCGTTGGAGAATGAAACCAATGCGACAATGCCGTAATTATAATGCAATTGTTGTTTTCTTTTTTTTTTTTTTTTTGTTCTGCGACCGCACACTGCGTTTCCCGAGGTGCACGTTTCAATCGCTCAGATTCAAAATAACGCTAGGACTCGAATCTCATCTTCAATAGTCTCGAGACAAAATTCTAACTTTGTAGAAATTTTCACGATATTTAACTTGGCAGCCAACGCGTTAAAAGTCAGAGCCGACATGAGGTAAAGGAGTGGATCCACAGATTTTTCTAATAACATTAATAACATTTAGTATTAAAACGAGCATACGAAAGTTACGAATAAAGATAGCCAAAATTTTCCCACCGAGCTTTGATTACTCACCACAGATCACTATGACGATACTAGTGGCGCCACAATGACGTTTCCCTGTAGCGCCACCAGTCACACTGCTCGTCGAGCGCCGAGACGCCATGTTGGCCAGCCTAATAGCAAGCAAAAGAACTAATTGGAGTACTCGATCAAAAAATTTGCCGCACGGCACTCACTTTAAATGGAGGCGTGTACGTGGAAGGGGGCACATTAATAGATTTTAATGATACAAATGAATCGCAGGCGAGGCACGATTCCGGCTTGGCCAGGTGATAACGTGTCAAGTCGTTCGACCCCTCTGAACCGTCTACATCAGCCTGCTAATATTAGACCAGTTGCGTAGATGCGTGTCGGTTCCACGGACCGTAACACGGTTACGCACTCGAAATGTGCGCGCATACTTCAACCGCTGTTTAATGACCGGCCACGTTATCGCGATCGTTACCCCAAGGCTCCCGCGCCAATTTTCCGACCCCGACCGGCAACGCGAAGCCTGCTTTCGACCCTATTTTCTTGGACAGGGACAGCGATTTAGCGGAGACAACTTCTGAGGTCTCGGCGCAAGGGGTAGGTTCAATAACTTGCGGATACAAGTTAATTCCAATACCTGGCATTCCAGTCCATGGAGCTAAGACCTTACTCAGAAATCACTACTACGTTTTGAACAACCTTCGGAATACCCCTCAAAAGGTGGAAAGGTTGTGGAACGAAATGGTACCGATGTAATTCAATAAATATATCTACAGTGAGATTCGTTAGAACTTAACAGGACTCAACGAACACGATGCTCTGGAACATCGCTATTTATGCAACGGAACCCGAATACCCAGAACCCCATCGATTCCAAATTCCTAAGTAAAAGACATTAATAATTTACGAGGAACAAACACAAGCTTCAGACCTGATTGGAATTAAATAACACGAGTCAAAGATGGCGCGATCGCACGGTCGGAAGCTCTTTCAGCACGCCATCCTCGAATCCATCAGCCCTCTAAATCCCAGTCAAGGTTGCCCGGGTTCGCGTTAACCCCCTACCATGTCTCCTCGTCGTCGTTTCCCGACGAACGCAAAACAACTAAGATGTCCCTTTCAAATCGATGCGGGGAAACTATATCGAAGACAAATTCAATCTAACATTACTTTCCCATTTGGAACCTAGAAGGTGTCCACCATATAGACACCTTAGCTAAAATGATCACTTATACTTTTATAAACTCCTTAATAATTGTTCTCTTTAGCCAATTTTCCTTATCTTTACCACAGAATCGTACAAAGGGTGAACAAGGTCTTTGGAAACACAAATACCCAGAGTCGGCCAGGGCTGCAGAGGGTTAAGGACCGAGGAGAGGTTGGCAGTCTACGAAGTCTACCTAGTCAGAGAGGAGGTACCATTTTCCCCGACGGCTCGCCATTTTGCTCCACGCGTCCCCGAAACTCCGCATCCCCTGAGTGGATGCAACCCTTCGAGAGGACGTGAACACCGTTTGCGTATCCGTTTCGTCCCTTCCCGTGTCCTTTAATGGCCTGTCGCGACGAGCTCGTGGCTTCGTTGACGTCCTACGCGAGAGAGGTGAGGAGGGAGCTGGGAACGGAACAGAGAGACGCGCAGGCGCCACGAAGGGTGGGTCCACTATGGATTTTCGAGGGTAGATACGCTCTACCAGTGGAGTTCCGGGGTGGCAGACAGCATGGGGTAGCAATGGAAGCTCCCACTGCAGAAGGGATGCTAGGACGCT